TCAGCTCCAGCACCACCATCAGGTATTAGGAGCACTTCTATTCTTCTACGTGGACAGCGCTCACGGTTCTCTGCTGTGTATGTATTTTGGAGTCCCTCCAGCTACACTGTCTCGGGTAATTACGGCTGCCGAAGCCTTAGAAGAATCCACCTCCGCTCGGATTGTAGACCGACGTTGTTCCGGCAAAAGGCGCTGTCAAAATTGGTATCGCTACGTCAACCACTGCTATCATTCACATTGGGTTTCTTGACGGGAAGAACTATAAGGTATTTATCTAATGTTGAATATATACTGTTACGCACTACGATGGATATTTGTTTTGGAATTATTTATGCAGCAGATCCAGCAACCTTCGGAAGCTAACATTCAGAATGCACACTACAACGGCTGCCTTCATGCTTTATTCGCTACCGGGACGTTGTGCTTCTCTGCCGATGGGCTTATAGTGTGGGCGAAGCACAACTGTCCTGGTAGTTGAAATGATGGAGACACTAGACTGGATTTTAGACGCATAATGGCGGATCGGCTTTTCGATCCGGACAGTCGCTTTGGGGTTGTTGCGGATAGTGCGTTTCCCTGTGGTGATGACATGTCTGGACGCTTAACTGCCTAGTCCTCTTTGGTGCGACCGGTAGCGAAGGCGCTATAGTCTGCCATAACCTCTAAAGGCAGGCAGCGGAGTGGGGTATGGGATCAGTCGAGAAGGTTTCGGGGAGGTTGTTGCTACATTGCCTTGTGACAAGGAAAGCGTCAGCTGCGACTCTCAAATCTCTTACGTCTCGCTACCTATCGTGTGCGTACGGTCGGAATCAGTGAGATCAGGACGGCGTTTTTTCAGGGACCTACAGACCGCGCTGTATGCCGAGACACGAATTGATATTCTTGTCTACTACATGTACAGTTAATGGACACATGATCTTCAAATCGTAAATGAACTTTAATTATGTAGGTGTATGTTTCATATACAACGCTACTTATCGCTTGAAAAAGCGAGGACATTGGTTGGCCTTGTCCCCTTTTCTTCACTACTTCCTGCCAATTTAGTGTATGCGCCCTCAGCAGTAACATGTACTTCATATGTGCATCAAAGTAGAGAACATCGCCATCATCTGCTCGTGCCTTTGGCGGGTCCCTGCGATCGAGTTTGAGGCGTTCGACGAAGCGGTGTTGGCTCTCCTGTTTGCCCTTCTCCCGTTTCTTGTGGTCCAATCCAAGCCGCGTTTCGCTTCCTCGTGTCGAAGTCTCTCGGTCTCGAGTATGACTTTGAACTTTGCCTCTGACCTAGAGAGATCGTCTTTTCGATGGCAGTCTCGCTCTTTTCTCTCTGTTTTCTTAGCTTTTCGCCTCTCTTCACGCTCCTCCCTCCATTGCCTCTCCTCTGACACAGCTTTGTTATCAGCTTGTCCGCAATGGGCCCCTCCATTACGTAAGTAGATTCTTTTACAAAAGTAGGTGCATCACCACACACTATTCGTGTGCTGAATTATCATCATTTTATTGGCTGATATATGGGGAGCCAGACCCATTTATTAGCCAATCAGTCGTTTACATGTATTTGAGCGGCCAGGGCTACCACCCTGGTCCTAAATAAAGTTCCTAGTTTTCCTGATAATTGTGAGCTTCCTCCTATCTACAGAGTAAGCTAGTAGCGGATAAATACCTGGCCCGTTACAATGACGACTATCAACTTGATCTGGAGAAGATTCTTCTGCTGTATCTTGAATCTCGTCGAGGATCCGGGTATTCTCGCTGTTATTTATTTCTTCAGCTTCAGGAGGGTCTGTCTCGTTGCCCAGTAGTGTTGTATTATCTTGTATATCTGTAGTGCCGCGGTTGGCCCCAACAGAATCCTCTGGACATTACGCAGGAACTAAGGAGCCGTCATGGATGGCCGTCTCCTCAACCTCATATACAGTACGTTTAAGAGCTCTCGATCAGTTTTCGTCGCAAACTCCACCGACGTGGAGCAACAGCTCCTCGTCATCCTCTCCTTCGTCGAGGCCGTCGTTATAATCGCTCGACCCCGCCTTCAGCTCTAAAGCGCGATGTATGTCTTGAGCTTTCGCAATAGTTTTCGTAGACTTTGCTATGTGATCATTGACTCCGCTTGGTTTGGGCTTGCCGACTTCAAAGTCGCACTTACTCATCCCTCTAGGGCGCCAAACATTGTAGCGAAGCACCACTTGGTCCCACATGTTGCACCCTCAAGGTTCAATGTCTTCTACGATGGAGCGAAGGAGCATTTGCTCTGCAATCGAGAAGTTTTCATACCCGCTTTTTTCCCCCTCGCTACTAAAAACCTAAATATGAGGGTACGATCAAGAAATTAAACCGGTATTTCAACCTGAAAACAACAAACGTACACGAGCCATGAGGTG